GATGAATTATAAATAAGAAAAACACGTCTCTATTGTCATGATTTAGCAAAATGAAGGTTATGTATTAATTTAGTTTTGATAGACGACTAATATCTTACTTATTTGGACATATAGAGGGAAATGAATTTTTGTTATAGTTAATGGTATAAGGAGGATTTGTGTAACTTTCATTCAATATATAAAAAAAAATAACTTACATGAGTAAAACAGAAAAAGAATAATAAATCAAGTCATATGAGAAATATGATAATACATAATCATGAGAATAAGGGTTTTTTTAATCATTTTACTAATACTATTCTAAACTACATGTAATCATTGTTTTTTTCCTTACACCTTTATCCCTTGATGAGTACAACCGAAGGCATTACTTACAGGCATAGTCTAAAAACTATAATCGTCAAAGTAATGTATCTATTTGTTTCCTCTAATATCTCATACTTACAGATTCACGGATTATTATTATTTTTTCAAAATGCATAAATTCAAACGCCATCATTTATTATCTTTACACTGATTAACATATATCGCGAACCATTCCCTTTTGAGTTAAAACAGCATCATAGTGAACTTGTGATTGTAAAATGCGTGCAGTGTGAATTTCGACTGTTTAACTGCTCGTGTGTACGCGAACCAATAAAATTATGCAATCGATAAGCTTTCTTTAAGCATATAATTTTTTTTATTACAGAAATTTCGATAATAAGAAAGTGATAAGATAAAAGTTCTTTTGGACAGGACGCAAAAGATCACTCTAATAATCAGAAGAAAAAAAATTGGCACCTTCTTTAAACCTTTTTTTAAAATTAAAATTCTGAGTAAAAAAAAATATAAATAAAATATAAAGAGAAGATGAACCTCAGTCTTCTTAGATGTAATGAAACTCGAAACTACATAAAGAAATTACTCAAATTTAGCATTAACCTTCAACCTACTGAGTCAACACTTTAATTAGGGCTAAATTTCTAACCAATAAAATCACGAAAATGCGATTTCACCGGATAATGCGGTTAAATTATGTAGCAAGGAAGCCGACCCGTCAATATGGATATTAATGGGCTCGCGTCGGGCCTACTTGCTTATACTACATGAAAATAGAGTCTACTATAAATGGGCCGGATTTATGGCCACTAGTCACGGCCTCCATTCCTCTTCGCTCGGAATAGAATCCTCTTATGCTTCTCTGACTACTGTTAAGTCCAAGAAGTTTAGTTCCCATGGAAAAATTTGCTGTAACGAATTACAAATATTTCAATGCTTTAACCAATTGTTCTGAGAGATAAAATTACACGTAAACACCTTAAGGCTTAATTAATAAATATTACGTAGGAACTTTCTAATAGCAATGATTGGACATTTAGCCAATTATATATCTTCTGTATTTAGATCCAAATTGTTAGTTTTATTTCAAATTTCTCTTTTTTGGTCATCAGACTTCAATGTTTGTCCCACGATATTTTTACGTGTAGGCCCAATATGTCCTCCAGTTATACATTCTTTCAAATTCGAAGATATTGACGGACCCAGAGTAGGTTAACCAGGCCCATAAAAGTATATGTTGGCTCACTGTAATAACGGCTAAAATATCAAATTGGTCTAAACAGTGACATCACTTTATCACTTTAGCCTAAAAAGTGGAACACAATTTGACCTAAAAAGTGAAAAATCAACAACAAATAGACTTTTCCGATCACCGGAGTTATTTTTTTAGCAAAAAATTAAAGAAAATTTATATATAAACCACTTAAACTCTCATAATTTTTAAATTAATCAATTTCCTTTCCCTAAATTTCTAAATTGTAAAAAAAAAACACCCTCTTTTCCCACCATCTTTTTCCCACCATCCTCTTCATTCCCTTATTCTTCCTATACCCTAACCTTCCTTATACCCTAACCTTCCCGCCTCCCTCACGCCCTCTCCAACCTTATTTCATGAATCATCACACTTACTTTCTAATTTCCTTCATCTCCTCCAATCTCTTTTACTCCGAATCCTCAACATCTTTTTCTCTCTCTCATTCCCTCTTCCTTCTCCTCCTCTTTCTTTCTCACATTCTCTTCCTACTTGCTTCACCCACTCCAACTCCCAAAATTAAACATTCCACCACAATCTTAACCTCATTCTTTTCTTCTTTTCTTCTTTTCTTGCACTCTCTCTTCCTCCTTACTCTCTACTCCTCTTTCATCATCCAATCATTACAAAATCAATCTCCTTAGAAATAAGGATATGTGAAAGAAAGGAGAGAGAATGGTGACGATTGGGAAAATAAAAGAATGAAAGAGATGACAAGAAGAGTGAGGGAAAAGATGATGGGAAGGGAAGAGAGGTGTTTTTTTACAAATTTTAAAACTTGAGGGGTTAAATCAGAAAATATAAGAAATTAATATATTAATTTTCTTGCTTAAAAAAATGCTTCTAGTGACCGAAAATGTTTATTTGTCACCGATTTGTTTCTTTTTAGGTCAAATTATTACCGGTGTTATTTTCAGACGAAAGTGGTAAAAGTGGTGACACTATTTAGACCAATTTGGCATTTTAGCCATATAATAACAATGTCTATTTCCATTCTCAATCACCTTCTTTCTGCTCTAGCTTACAGCAGAAACGATGGAAAAAGCATCAAAATTTCCTCTGTATTCTATTCATGTGCGAAATCTCAAGTATTAGTCAAATTGTCATATTATAATATATTTGAATTAAAAAATGAACCCTATCCAGCGTCAGTATTTCCTCTTACGCACTTCACGAGCAAAATCTCAAGCATTTGTGAAATTGGTATGATCCCTTTGATGATTTCAACTTTTATAATTTGATTTGGTTAATTTGTATTTTAAATACATAAATCCTGCCCTAATATCAGAATTTCCTCTTACTCGCTTCTGGCAAAACATAAAGCATGCATAATTCCCTTTTAGTGATTTCAATCTTTATGATTAGATTTGATTTTGATTTTTTTTAAAGACGACCCCAACCAGTTTACAATTGCCTCATACTCCCTTCTTGACCAAAATCTCAAGCATTTGTGAAATTATTTAATTCCCGTCATGATTTCAACTTTTATACTTTAGTTCGAATTAAAAAGAAACGAACCCTATCTAGTATTATGGATTGAACTCCTATATACCTCCAAAATGATAGTAGCAGCAGGGTCCTTTGCACTTATATTCAAGGGTTAATTGAGGAGATAGAATCTTTGTGGTGTCGCTATTTTGAACTTACTACCCTGCAGTCATATTTGTAGATAGACTCCTGAATGAAACTTTTTTTTTTTTGACTCTTTTTACTCTTAGAGAAAAAGGAATTTGGTTTTTGACAAAATAAACCCCTAATGGTAAAAGAGTAAAAAAGTTTTCACTTCGAGGGTATACCTGCAACGATAGAATTGGAGGGTTGTACAGTCTCCAGCACTTGAGGGTCTATCTGACACGAGGGACCTAAGAAATTGATCTTTTTAGAGGTTATATTTGAAGTAGGGTTGTTTATTTCTACTTATTTTATTGATCAAGGTTTTTTTTTTAATGTTGGACCGGATAAGAATTTATCATCAATTCGATCTAAGTTCTAACCCATATAATTTGCAGTTTCAAGGGAAAGGCTATGTAATATTTTTTAGAAAATGAACGAGATGCCAAATGTCAACAGTTCACATCGTGAGCTGTTGATTTTAACTTACACAAAGTCTCTTTCATCGGGACAAATGTGGACATCATACATTCTACTCCGTTAATAAATAAAGTAATCGAGTGGCTGAATGAATGCCAAGAGTAATCATCCTATCAGAAGGCAACACTGAACACCACCATACACACTTTTAATTTCTAGACTAAACTTCCACAATTCTTTTACGTCCAATCCAAATCACCCGCTCATTTTCAATTCAGCGTCCACACCGTCAAACTCATACAATATATATTGATTCATTGAATTGTCTAATGCTGATCGAAGCAAGTTCCACAGGATAATCTTGTCGCGCGTCTTGCGGAAGCGTGCTCGACAACTAAACGAGTCGGTGAGCGATGAGAGAAGAAAACCAAAACCAAATAAGAGTGCAATTCACAAAAGTACGACCAAAATCAAACCATAAACACAGGAATTTACGTGGTTCGGCAATTGCCTACGTCCACGGGGAGAGGATGAGGAGATTTCACTATATGGAGGAGAAATACAACGGGTTACAACTCACAAAATCACTCAAATATAACCCTAACCAAAACTCTCAACTCCCTCACAATATCTCCCTCTTAAAATGCTCAAAACAATGCTAATTCTCTCCTTTTCTCTCCTTAAGAAACCCTAAAAAACGTGGTTCTATTTATAACAAAACACAATCCCAAATAGATTAAGATTCTAAAAACGAGTCTGCCACACCCTGGTAGACACCACACCAGGGTGTGGTGGAATCTGTTTTGGGTTTTTCTTCACGTTTTTCACAAATCTGTGTGCCCTTTGGATTTTGTGAGGAACAATGTCAGGGATCGGAGCATCAGGAATTGAAGCAGCTGACATGTTGGGTGAGATGGAGTTAGGGGTACAGGGAGCTGGAAGAGATGGACGACAAGTGCATTGAGAACCAGGCTTACAGGGGACTGTTTTGCAAAACTTTGAAGTCCAGGGTACTTGTAATAAATGTCCAAAGTCTGTTAAGTTTGTTACAACAGATGTCCAAAGTCTGTTAAGTTTGTTACAAACAGTTAAAGTTGTTTTGTTAGTTGTAAGCCTGTGCACGTTTTTGTGCACGTTTCCTCATTCTGACTGTTTGAGCATCAGTATAAAAGAGGGAAATGTAATCAGAGAAAAATAATAAGAAAAACTTTGATTTCTCTTCTTCAATTCAATCTCATCTTTCTCTCTTCTATCTCAATTTCTTTTCATTCTCTATTCTCAAGAATCTGTAGTTTCTGCCATGGCCAGAAACAACAATTTGAGATCCAACCGAGGCTCTCGAGCCTCACATTTGGTATCAGAGTAGGTTGAGGTTGAAGCAGGCGCTGAAGAATTCATGGGGAATCACGATGGAGCTTCAGCAGACGAGGGAATGCAACTAGGAGTTCAATTGGAAGAAAACATTTCCAGTCAGAGGTTCTTCAACCAAATGAATCGCATGGAGGAGACCCTCAACCAACAAGGACTCATCAATCAAACAGTGATGGCAAGATTGCAAGAATTAGGTTCTCAATTGCAAGAACTCAAGAGAACCAAGGATCAGGCAACTCTGAGTTCATTAAACAATGGCGTGAGAATCAATCAAGGAATCTTAGGGGCAGGGTCCAGAGATGAACGTGGGATTCCTGGATCAGACAATAATAATCAGATTCATGAGAATAATCCTCAAACACAGAGGAGGATTGATTTGTCTGGTGAATGTCCCCCAACTCCTAGCCAAAATCATGGTAATTTCTTGAACCACAAGAATTCCTTTTTTAGTAATCAGAAATTAGTTCAACCGAAATCTCTGAGGCTAGATTTTCCATCTTTTTCTGGTTCTGAGAATGTGATCTCTTGGTTGGAACAAATTGAGCAAATATTTGATTACTATGATATCAAAGAGGATGAGTGGGTTAAGGTCTGTTCTTTTTATCTAAGGGATGAGGCCCTACAGTGGTTTAGATGGTTTACAAAAAATCTTGACTACTATAATCACTGGAAGGTCTTTAAAGAAGAGATCATTACCAGGTTTGGGCCTAGTGAGCTCCTCAGACCATATGACACATTCTCAACTATGAAGCAAACATCTACTGTGAGGGAATATTTGGGGAAATTTGAGAAAACTTTAAGTCTGTTAGATGATCAACCCTCAAAACGTCACATATTGGAAAAAATTATAGGGGGTTTGAAGGATGAGTTGAGGTATGAGGTAGCTGCTGCGAGACCCCCATCTCTGAAAGGAGCAGTATCCTTGGCCAAGTTATTTGAGGATAAACAAAAAAATGAGAAGAAAGTTAGAGGTAATTGGAATGTCTTTAATCAAGGAAGTCCTTCAACTCGTACATCTATCGAGACTCCTGTTCAAGAAAGACTGAAATCAAGTCCACAAGTCAAGAAGCTCACTCCTGAAGAAATTCAAAGAAGAAGAAGTCAGAATATCTGCTTCACTTGTGACGAAAAATGGCATAGGGGACATCAGTGCAAGGATAAGCGCTTGTTCATATTGGAGGGCATCATGACAGGAGTTACGGAGGAAGATGTCAATGACTCCTTAGAAGAGGAAGCTGGACATGTAGCAGTTGAATTGGCTGAAAGCTTATTGAGAGGGGCTCCATCTATCTCTGTGCAGGCTTTTAGTGGAATAACAGCTTCCCATACCATTAGAATAGTGGGTTATTATAAAAATCAAGCCATTAGCATCTTGATAGACTCTGGCTCCACCCATAATTTTATCAATTCCAAATTAGTCAAGAAACTGGGCCTGACAGTGACAGAGTATAGTAACTTTGATGTCTTGGTAGCCAGTGGAGAGGTAATCAAGGGAGCTGGGGTATGCCAAGAAGTTTCACTTGATTGTCAAGGGGTAAATATACAGGTCAATTTGTTAGTAATGCCTATGGGAGGCAGTCAGATTGTATTGGGTGCAGATTGGATGAAGACTTTAGAGGACATCACATTGAATTTCCAAAAATTACAAGTGACATTCTTAAGTGATGGAATCAAAAGAACCTTGCAGGGGGAAATTCCAGGAGAAATGCAATTAGTCAATGAAAAAAGCATTGCCAAATCAGTTAGAGAACATGGACAAGGTTTCCTGATTCAACTGTGTAGTGTAAGTCTGCGGGAATCAAAATGGGAGGGCTTCAGTGAAGAATTACCTGAAGACATGCATCAGTTGATTCAAGAATTTGATGTGATTTTCCAGGAATTGCCACACCTTCCTCCTGCCAGGGAAATAGACCATCGAATTCCACTTGAGCCTGGAACAAAGCCAGTATGTATCAGACCTTACAGACATGCACACTTTCTGAAGGAAGAAATTGAAAAGCAAATTGAAGAGATGTTACGAATCGAACTGTCTAGGGCCAGCTGATCGGAGCAAGATCCAAAACAATCTTAACTTTGTGCTCTGTGACACTAACAATTCAGATTAATGCACAAGCCTCTCTGTTCCTCTAGAGTTCAAATTAAAGTTACAATACCGAATGAGGCATGGACCTCAAGTATGTACAACATCGGGCAATTCAAGAGTCTAAGTTCAAGCTCAGACTACGATCCCTGTTATTATCAGCTATAAGCTCAGGTTAATTTGTAACTTGCCACCTTCTCTAATATCACTTTCTCATGACTCTCTTTTAAGGTATCTACTCCTACGACTAGCCGAGAACCACCGGAGTCCTCGAGCATTTGAACTACTGTCCTCATTGACGGCCTCATTGTTGGAAGTCTAGAGGTGCAGAGCACGGCGATTTTGAGGACTTTTACGGCTTCTTCTCTGGCTAACTCTGAAATGATACTTGCATCTACTAAGCCCATTATACTCTCTCGGCTTGTCATTCTCCCTGAAATCCAATAGACGATGTCTTTGTTATCACCGTACTCTGCTTCGATTGGCCTTTTTCCGGTAACTAGCTCCATGAGGACTACTCCGAAGCTGTACACGTCGCTCTTCTCGGTCACCTTCCATGTATATGCATATTCTGTTGTTGAAGAGCATATAAATTAAGTCAAATTATCACGAAAATGAATGAAGGAAAGTAACAAAATGTTTATAAACGACACAGTATCTTCTATGCATGATATCAACACTCTAAAGTTGTTGTGAATATTAACTTTATAGATATTGATGTTTATAAAATAATCCTCTGACATCATGACATCGCAAGAGAAAAGGTTGAACCTCATAGGCTTATACACTTAACACGTTTCCCTAATTTTAGCATTATATTCCTCGAGGAAACATGGACTACATATTATAAAAACACCTTCTGTTTTAAAAAAAAAAATTCAAATGTCTGACGGAACAAATTTAAAAAATGAATTTTTCCATACAATTTTAGATTAATCACATACAAATCCTTTGTACTGTGATTGTGTAAGCATTTATATCCGCTAAACTGTTTTACACCCTCGGAACTATATTATTTGCTACTCGATGAATTAGCGAGAAATTTAATCTTTGTTTCGACTGAATTGAGCGCAAAAGGAAATTTATCAACACATTATCATGTAATAATGTGTCAACCAAACACAAGAAATAATGATGCTTTGAGTTCAGATGTGTAAGTGATAATAAAACAGTTTAGCCTACTATAGTTGCCTAAAACGTGATAAAGATCGAGATTTATCATACCGGGAGCGATGTAACCATAAGTCCCAGCAACAGCATGCGTCATCGACGACGCATCCTTCCCACCCTGCAACACCTTCGCCAGCCCAAAATCAGCAATCCTCGGCTTAAAAAACTCATCCAACAGAATGTTACTCGACTTCACATCCCGATGCAGTATGGGCCGATCACACCCGTGATGCAAATACTCCAACCCCCTCGCCGCCCCTACCGCGATCTCGTACCTCGTCTCCCAATCCAACCCCAGCTTCTCACCCGCCGCCGTGTGCAGCCGGTCCCACAAACTCCCATTAGGCAAATACTCGTACACCAACAGGCTCGACTCCTCGCTCGTTATACTGCAGTACAATTTCACCACATTAACGTGGCGAATTGAGCTCAGCGTGTCGACTTCCGCTTCGAATTCGCGCGAGCGCAGTGAACCAGAGCGCTTTGCTAGCATTGCTGAGGTGCTTTTCTGGTCGTAGGGGTTTTCGGGATTGAATGAATTGTGATAGATGTGCTTGACTGCGACCATTATGCCGCCGGTTAAGTTGACTCTGTAGACTTCACCGGAGCCGCCTTTGCCTATCAGATTGTCCTTTACGACCGAGTTTATGATTTCTTGCTCGTCGAATGTTAGGATTCTGAAGGATTTGATGTCCCATGAATCTTTGGAGATCATGGGGGAGTCCCTTCCGGATTTGCGCTTTTTGAAGCAGATGAGTGCAAGAGAGCAGAGGGCTAGTGCGAATGCCGCGAGGAAACACGTTAGGATTGTTGTGAGTTTGTTTGAGGAGTGTTTGGAATTTGGAGAGCATTGGTGGAGATAGATAAATGAGTCTGAGCAGAGGCGAGGGTTTCCGATGAAGCTGTCGTTGTAGGCGGAGATCGAGAGTGCAGCTGGGATATCGCCAGTGAGTTGATTGTTTGAGAGATCAAGAGAGCTCAATTTCAATGAAGATAAACTCACTGGAATCTGACCGGAGAGTTTGTTATTAGCGAGGATCAACGAGTTTAGACTGGGTAAGCTCCCGATACTTGCAGGGATTTCGCCGGAGAGAGTGTTACCAGCCAAATTGACAGCGCTCAGCGAAACACAAGAACCCAGAGAATCTGGAATCTCGCCTGTGAGCGAATTCTTCTCGGCATAAAAACTTGCGAGCTTCTTCAATTCGCCGATACTCTCTGGAATTTGACCAGAGAACTGATTATTTGATAAATTGATCGTGCCAAGGGAAGGAGCTCCAGAAATCTCAGAAGGTATATCCCCGGAAAATTTATTGTCTGCAATCAACAGCTGGCTCAGAGATTTCGCTCTGCCGATGCTCGCGTCAATGGCTCCTTCAAGCTGATTGATGGCGAGATCGATGATATCGAGGTTGGGCAGTCCCCAGAGCCCAGCAGGAACCACGCCGGAGAGGGAATTATTACTGACCCTGAATCGAATCAGACTCGAACAACTCGCGTAAGTGGCTGGGATTTGGCCGGAAAATTGGTTTTCGAGCAGCAGCAACTTCTGCATAGTTCCCATCTTGCACATATCGGGCGGGATGGAACCCGTCAAGTAATTCGTCGAGACGTCGATGAAGATGAATTCAGCCCAGCTTCCGAGCTTCGCCGGCAAATTCCCAGTCAGTCTATTGCTGTAAAGTGATAAATTTACCAGAAATTTGAAATCTCCGAATTCCTGAGGAATTTCGCCGGAAAACTCATTGAAAAACAGCTGCAGAGAAACCAAATTTTTGAGAAACCGGAGCTCAGAGAGATCACCCTCCAAATAATTCCTCGAGGCATCGAAATAAGCAAGCCGTGTTAAATTCCCGAATCCATCGGGGATCTTTCCTCTGAAAGAGTTGTTATAGAGCTCTAGCTGCAAAAGATTGGTAAGCTTCGTTATCTCCTTCGGAATCTCTCCCGTGAGAATATTATCGGCAAGCTCGAGATCGACGAGTTTCGTCAAATTCCCAATCGAAGCAGGGATTTCTCCTTTCAAGTTACAGTCAGAGAGGTACAACAAGCTTAGACTCGACAGCTCCGTTACTATCTCAGGAAACGGGCTCTCCTCGAACTGAAGATTATCGCCGACGCTTAAGTAGATTAAGCCGGTGAGATTAGCGAGCGAGCTCCAGGGGAAAACCCCGGTGAAATGATTCTGATTGAGAACCAGCGCCTGTAATTTTCCGAGCGGGGACAAATCGGGAATTTGACCGGTGAACTCATTGAAAGAAAGATCAAGGGATTGTAGCTGTTTACAGTTTCGGATGTCGGCGGTGAGAATACCGCCGAGCGAGGTTGTTGTGGCTAAGGGAGAGGTTACTGAGAGAGGGGAGGGAGCAGAGGGAGGAGAAGTTGAGAGTCCCCGAAATGCCCCTGTGGGCGAGGTCGATTTTGGAGACGGAGCCATCTGGGGTGCAGGAGATTCCGGAGAATTCGCAGGGGGGCTTTGATGGGTCCCACGAGCCAGAGATCCCGAGGGAGGATTTGAGGTCGAGGAGAATGTTGAGCTCGGATTCTGAGGGTTTTGTCGGGTGGCAGAGGGAGAGGAGGGAGAGGAGGAGTAGAATGGGAAGAGACGAGGGCATTTTGGGAAGAGGAGGTGGAGGGAAGATGGTTTTGGGAGTGAGGGAGTAGGGGGGGTTCACATTTGAAGTTTGGAGAAGGGGCGGGGAGAGGTAATAAAGAAGAATAAAGATAATGTGGGATTTAGTGGGATGGGTTTTTTTTTGTTAGTTGGGCGTTTTTTTTGGCTTTTTGGTGCTTGTGAATTTGGGCGATTGATATCTGAAAAGTTTCTAGTTTCATTAGTGGCATGATAATGCTTGAAAATGAATATTTAGCCCGCGTCTCAAGTTTAGTTTAATTTGTCACGTGATTAGAGCAAAGCGGGTGGCATCTTTCTCTATATTCTTGGTTGTAGCATGATGCGTATTCATACATTTACAATTCATATATTCAACAATTCGGATTTTAGCTGATAGTCTAGATATATATCATATCAACAACTAGGCATGAGCATGAGAGAAAATGATCCATGTTTTCAAATTATTTTATCATTAGAAATTAAGATTTGATGGCTCTTCCAACATCTTTATGTTGTAATGAGTTGTCAACAACAATATGAGTTATAGCTGTCTTTTTTTTTTTCCTTTCTGTTTTGTATGTTTTTCCTTAGTCTAATCATTACGATACTTGGTTTAGAAATTTTAAGCACTCTCTTTACTTAAAAAGAACTTCAGGTAAAGTTTGTCAAAAATCTATTAATCCTAATAAAAAAAAGATTATCAGATGAATATGAGCTGACCAATGACGTAATTGTACTAATATTTGATCATATATATACCTAAAACTCAATTAAGTTATCTTTTCTGCCCTCTTTCCCGTGCTAATGGTCCCAACATATCGTAGAATCTGCATTTGTGTGGACTTAAATTTGACTCAAAAGTTGTTTTTCCTCAAACAAAACATTTATACAACTTTATAGTACACCTCCACTCTAATGTATACATCAACCCAACAATGATTAACACGCTCAAAACAAAAAAGAAAAAAGGAACTATTTGCATGGACTAGAATGCAAAAAGGGTCATCTTCTTAGATGAATTGTGGGCCCAACCGACAGATCCTCGAGCGGGCTCTTTAGATCACGCTTTTTCGTCCAAATTTCGTTGTTATGTAGCATGTGTACACATTGAGGCTGGCCTGCTGTTCTCATTAAATGATGCCAACGACTTAAATGTCGATTTTTTTTTTTTTTCCTTTGGCGGAGCTTTGCTCGTGAGTCGACACACGAGTCTTCGTATGTAGGTTGAGCTCATCTAATTACGATGATGCATTATTTATCTTGAATTATCATAATTCTTTATGGATTTAATGTAGACTATTTCATTTAGAAAAACTTCCACAAATTTATATCATAATTATATGAGATTACTTGAAAAAACAAATTTAATCATTTAATTCTTCTAGTGAGATATCGTCTTCGAAAATGTACAGCTTGTTGACTTTCTACACTCTCAAGTCTCACCATAAAGCCGAGAAATGTGTAACTTCAATTAGCACATAGGATAACCTTTCTTGCGTGCTTCAGCATTTGTATCCCCTCTTTTTTTTTTTTTTTTGCTTTTTTCCCTTAATCAATAAAATGGACTAATAGCCCTATTTTCTTAAATAAAAAAACAATATCATATTATAGCATGCGTCCATTTCTTTACTTATTAGTAAATAAATAAATTAACTCATGTTATTCTAATTCATGAAAGATTTTGTATATAGTATGTGTCAGTAGCTTTTTGCTGCTTTTATACTTCATGCCATATTTTAAATTTAAAAAGTTTATGGTAGTCTTATAAAAAACTTTAATAATAAATGTTAGTTTAGTGAAATTCAGGTACTCTTAAATAAACATTGTTGTACTTCTGCAACGAAAATAATAATAATAATAATAAAACATTAATACACGTGCGATTTGCAAGTGTGACGGTTTATTAATTGAGCAGTTTGGTGTTGATGGTCTCTCTTATCTTATATCCACTTGTTTTATGATCAATTCACGGATAAATATGGTGACCATTCACAAACTGACTTCCTTGGTGGGATGTCAGGCTATGAAACTATATCTATTTTTTTAATTAATTTTGTTTGTTTTTATGGAAAAACAATTTTCTAAAGAGTATTAGCTAATACTCATAAAATTCTTTATTTGTAATTTTTAAGCATATACAAATTGTAGGTCAAAAGGATGCTGAACTTGTGAATATTACGGTATGTTTGGCAAACTCCTCAAAACTGGATTAGGACTAAACATGACCTGATTTTGAGGTAAAGTGGTTCATTTTTTATCCAAAGGAGGGGTGGATAAAATAAAATAACATGTTTAAGCCCATTTTTTGGCTTAGAAAAATTTGGGCCCGAGCCGGCCTAGTTTTTGCTAATAAAAAACTAACTCAAAAATAGGTCAGGTTCCCTCTTGACCCAATTTTAAGGATTTGTTAGGTTAGTAACTAGGGCCAGACTAGTTATGACCATGTTTTAGACAACACCAGTTTTATTTTGGATCAATGAGGAGATGGTTCAAAATAAAACCAGTTTAAATGCCAAAATTGATTTTAGAAAAATTGGGCCAAACTCCCATTTTTTCCAAACCAATTTTTGTCCAAAATAGATGCAGCCTAGTAGATCACATGACAAAGTTATGTCGCTTTTTATTAGGGGCCTAGGTTTAATTCTCGCCTGTGCCAAAGATGTCATAAAAAAGTATCCAAAATGAGGCCAGGTTTGGTGACTCCGTGTAAAACCAGTTTTGTTCCTGACTCTAGCAAAAAACAAGATCAATACTTCAACTAATTTTGTTAAGCCAATATTTTGGGCTTTGATTGGTCCATCATCCCTATGGTCGAGACTTAAACTAGTTTAGGTCAAAGCTGGTTCAACGATAAGTTGCTAAATTGATCCCAAAAGTAGTTGCCCATTACAAAAAAAATTTAGTTTTACTTCGTTATAGCGACAACAACATTGTGTCTATGCATGTGTGTGTGCATGTAAGTAATGGGTATGAGGTGGTGGTTCATTTTACTAAATTAGATATTAATAGACAGTCATATAGTGAAACCCACCTTAAAAGGCACATCAAAAGATGCGGATATCACCCCACTATCTATTGGTAGCTCATTTTGCTAAATGAGCCACCACATCGCAACCTATGTGTGTGTAGACACACACACACATACATACATATATACGCATATATATATACATACACAGACATATGTTTGTGTGCGCGCGCGTATGTATATATATACACACATACATACATACGTGTGTGTATATATATATATATATATA